CGAAATCCCTCCCAAATACACTTGCACTTAGATTCTTGTTGATGGTAATCCAGATAAGAACATTATGTGTTTTTCCATCAATTTACTTACTTTTCTACACTTACCATTATTTCCCTGAGGTTCAAACCCCTTTCTTTTTGCCTGTCCAAACTGTCACAGTCAGATACACTTTGATACAGTCTGGCTCTGAGAGTTATCTTCTCTGAAATCAAGATTCTCTCTATTCTAAGTTGGCAGTTAATCAGACATGTGTGTTCTTTTTGTTGTGAAGTGAGTTAGAATGGAGAAGTTGGAATCAGATGTTTAGATTTGCCTTGGATCCCAAATCCATCACTTACTGTGAAGCTTAGACAAATCTCCTAACTTCTCTGATCTTTACTTCATCCTATGTGAAATAAAGATAATCCTGCCTAAATCTAATGGGTAGATTGAGGTCCTCTGAACTAAAAACACAGGAAGCAGGATATTGCCTAATGAAAGAAGGTACTTGAGAAAAGATATTTTTGTAATCTTATTTTATTTAATTTTTCTAGCTTGTTTTCCAAGCTAGATTGTAGTTTCTCTATCACATTCAATTTCTTTATCCATGTGCCTTGCACATTACAGGCACTAAGTAATTATTTGTTATCAATTTTCTATAGCTTTAAATCAGAGAGTGCGCTCTTGGAAGTCAAGATGAACCTTTAAATTGTTATTTGTCAGGCGTTCTCGAGGAAATGTCTTATACAAAATGAATGCTGTGGTCTATAGTTCTAGATTCACTGAGGTCCTTCTAGAATGGACTTCTGTCCGTAACCATTATTTTACTTCTTTCTGACCCCTGTACACATGAACCAGTGTTGGTTACAGAGTAACTGACTGCAGTGCACACAAAAGCATTTTCAGCTGTCTCACTATCTTCTCTCCACGCTACCTATTGCCCCCTCCCTGTCCCTTGCTCTGCTCCAGCAGATGTTTTCTTTGCACCCCTAGAACTTTCCAGGATAGTTTTGTCTGGCAGCCTTTGCACTTGATGTTTCTCTTCATTTGAGTCCCTGCTCCAGTGTCGCCATAGAGGTCTCATGCTTGTCTCTGTATCCTACCACCTGGCTTTGTGCTTTCTGTATAGTTGCTCTCTGAAGTTGTCTTATTAGTCATTTGATTATTGTTTGCTCCCTCCATTTCTTTCCTACCCCCTCCCCCAGTAGAAACTTCTATTCTGGATCTTTTTATATCCCTGCTGCTGAAACAGTACTTGGTGGTGAAATGACTGAATGGAAGAACTCCACCATACCTTATACAGAATGTTTAAGATGGTGAGCTAAAACCCATGGCTATCACACCAGATTCTAGTGAAACTCTTTAGGTCTGAATCATCCATATAAGCAACTGCGAAGTCTCAGTATGGCAATTATTAGTTAATTAATTAATTAATAAATAATTAGTGTCTTAGGGTATATGGACTGAGAAGAAACATGCAAACCCTAGGAAGATATGTATAAACAATTACAGCATAACATATGTAGAAATCACATGGGCAAATCCTTTTGCTGTGGAAAATTTATTTATTTATATTTTTGGCAGTGCTGAGGATTGAAGCTAGGGAGTATTGGGCTATATCTCCAACACTTTAAAAAATTATTCTGAGACATTGTTTTGCTATCTTGCTAAGTTGCTCAGGCTGGCCTTGAACTTTTTGTGTATGTGTGTGTGAGTGGTACTGGGGATTGAAACCATGGCTTTCCCATTGAAGCATAGCTCCAGCCCTTTTAAATTAGTTTTTGAAAGAGTCTTGCTAGGTTGAGCTCTAACCTGTGATCCTCCTGCTCAGCCCAGCACATATATAATTTAAAATAAATGATTTATTTATTTTCATTATGGAAAATCTAAACATAAGCATAAGTAGGTACAATGGATAAGAATGGCATAATGGATCCTTTTATCCACTGGAATGGACAGACTTATCCTACTGTTCATGCCCCTGTATAATACCCTTTCCTTGAGCATATGTGAAGCCTGTGATCAGCTTTCTGGCCAATAAGATGTGCACATTTGTTGTGGTCCCTGTGTGACTCTGTTACATCAGAGTTTGTTCTGCCAGGTGAATCTCCTTGCTGGCTTCATGAAGTCAGTGGCCATGCTGGGAAAGCCCATGTGACAGTGAACTATAGGTGTCCTTCAGGAAATGCAGGTGCCCGCTTGGAGCTCTGGATGGTGTCCAGTTGACAGGAAGAAGCGGGGTGCTCTGTCCTGTAACTGCAAGAAAATGAATTCTACCAGTTACCGGAATGTTTCAGTCATTTCTCTCATTGCTGAGACACAACACCAGTCGCCCACAACTTAATGAAGGAGAGGTTTATTTTGGCTCAGGTTTCAGTCTGTAGTGGGCTGGCTCTAAGTCAGAAGGGCATAGCATACAGGCACAGCAGAGGAAAAGCTCCTCACCTCACGTTTGGCTGGGAACAGAGAAGAGGGGAACCCCTGTGCAGATACACTGTTCCAGCCCAGGCCCCCTTTGACCAGCCTCTTTGGACCAGAGCCTTCATCCTAACAGCAAGCCAGTAATATTGCCTCCATAACCCTCATCTTCCAAACACAAGGCTTTGGGGTCCAATTTAGATCTAAGCTGTAACACTGAATGAGTAAGGATGCCAGTTCTCCACGTGATGAGGACATAGCCTAGCCAACATCATGGTGGCAGGGATGAGGCCTTAAAGAGAGAACTCAATGTGTGGGTACACCTGACTCACAAAATCTGTGTTGTTTTAAAGCCACTATATTTGTGGTAATTTGCAGCAATAGAGGACTGGATACAGCTACATCACCTGATGTCAACTATTTTCAACAGTTTTCAGTATTGTTGTCTTCGTAGCCTCGTGCCTTTAGGAGGTAAATGGCCAGACTTAAAGTGATTTCACTTTCAAATGCCTTAATATGTATCTCTAACATATAAGGACTTTTTAAGAAGCATAACCATGATGTCTGAAAAGTTAAACTGGAGGACAAGAGTGGGAATCTTTTTCTTTTTAGGGTCAATGGTGGAGATTGAACTCAGGTCCTCAGGCATGCTAGCCAAGTCTTTTACTGTTTAGCTGATACCTCTAGCCCCATGAGGGGGAGTCTATTCAAAGCCATCAAGACAATGGATTATATTAATTAGATAAGCAAAGAAAGGTACTTGCAACAGAGTAACATCTGGTTGACTCCATCATCCAAAGGACAGGAAAATAGAAGACAGCTTCTTTCACTGGAAATGTCAGAAGCTTGCCAGTTGGATCTTTAACAGTGCAGTCTCAAAGTTGTTCCATTAGCTTGTCTGTTGTACAGTATCTAAAAGAATTTAGAACTAATTCTGAGGGTATGTTTAAGATCCTATCCATCACCCCCAAGACTCTAACCTGCTTTGGGATGAATCCCTTTTTCATTTCAATTCATAATGCCGTGTAATTTCACGTTATACTCTAAATGCGATTCTCACCACTTTCTCATCACTACAGGAAACTTCCCAACTGGCCCCATTTCTTTTTCTTTTGGATAGCCAATCTCATTTCCCTTTGATACTGCTCACTGTAACGGAACTACTCAGAGTTCTAGGACATTGGGCAAGCAGTTTCTCCGAGCTGGGTCGTGTAAACGTGTTTCGCGCCAAGAGCCTAGCACAAAGATATTCTACCCTGAAACCCTTTGTTGGTTTTCATCTCCAACCACCTTACACCAGAACACCCAGCAACACGCCTCTCCTGTCCTCGTCGCGGGGCATGCAGGGACTTGTAGTTTTTAGGTCCCCAAGTCCGTGTTTCCTCTTAGAGCTAGGCGGAAAGAGCAAGAACTACACATCCCAGTGGGCCGAGAAAGGAAAGCACGGCTCTAAAAACCGAACATCCCAGCTTAGCAGCCTTCGCTCTCCGATGCCCCAGGGCTGTGCCCACCTTAGTGAGGGCTGTGACCCCGCGCAGGCGCTTCGGGCTGGGGAGGGCAGGGGGCTGCGGCACGGGTTTGCGGGGCTGTCAGGTGGACCCAGAAGGAGGCGCGGGCAGAGTGGACAGGCGAGCAGTCCCTCTGCTGCCGAGGAGTCGCCTCGGTGGTAAGAAATTAAGCTAGCAGATTGTGAGCGCCTATGGGCAAAAAGTGAAGAAAGAGACCCGGAGGCAGCTACCCAAACAACCTGGCCGCCAAGGGGCTTTTGCTCCGGGAGACCTGGGCCAGGGCCAGGGCCAGAGGGGACCCAGACCACTCCGCCCTCTCCACTCCACTCTCCTTTCCTTCTTGCTTGAAAGCTGGGCCCCAAGGCCCCCACCCGTACCCCAGTCCGGGAGACAGACTGGCCTCAGCTCGCCCCTCTCTGATACTCCTGTCACCAGATACCCCCACCCTTCCAAGCTCCGGGCATCAGCAGAGTATCCGGGCGACTCAACCAGGCGCCCCGCTAGAAAGAAAGAGGAAGCACTGGGGGCAGGCCGGGAGAGTCACCTCTCCGCGCCGTGGCTCCTCGGGTCCCTGGGAGTCACAAGAATGGGTTTGCTAGCGGCTGTGTGAATGAATGTGCGTGTCCGGAGACAGCTGCTGCGGGCGGGAAGCCCGTGGAGAAGAGGGCAGACGGATCGAATCCCGCGAGGGCGCACGGCGGCAAGCAAGACCCCCATCGCTCCCAGGGCGATGCCACCTGGAGCGCAGCGCCTTTCCCGGTTCGGTGTCCAGTCCCGGCTCCTGCCCGGAGGGCACTGGGGCGGGGACCCCGCGGAGCGGGTGTCAGGGCTCGGTGGGTTGGGAGGAGAAGCAGGAGGAGGAGCCCGGTTGGCGAGGCGCGGGTGCCACCGCCCACCGGGCTGCGAGGAGGCGGAACCGCTCCGAGCGCCGCGCGCGCGCCGGGGCTGAGCCTTGCAAACAAGTGGCTGTGGCCGTGGCCGTGTCCTCGCGGCCCTCCGGCGCCCCTCCTCGCGGCGAGGCTGGCTCTTTTGGGCAGGAGGAAGCGAAGGAGACCCCTGCTGCGTAGCCCGCTAGACACCGCCGCCGCCCTCGGCCCGGAGTCCCGCGCAAGGGCCGGGGACTCGGCGCGGCTGCCAGGCGCGGGGACGCGGGGTCGCGGCTCGGCAGCTGCCGGGCTCTTTCCGAGCCGTCCCTGACAGAATAACGTGCGTGGCTGTCCCCACCCCTGGGAGGGGTTGCTGGTACCGCGAGCTGCCGCCCAGTTTGCAGCTCTCTACTGGGAGGATCCGCCACTGGGAGGAAGGAGGAGAATCAACCTGGCCAAGGCGCAGAAGTGGCTGGCAAGGAAGCCGGCGCCGGGGGCCGCCTCGTGTCCCCTCGGGGCGCAGTGCTCGAGGATCCGCAGGCCGGAGCAGAGGCGCGGCTGGGGGCTCCGGGGCGGCTGGGCCGAGAGCCCTGCTGGACGCACTGTCCCCCGGGGTCAGCCGGGCTGTCCCCTGCGCCCCGCGGGGCCCGGGAGCCCCGGGACGCCGGCTGGAAGCGACGGAGGACTGCTGCCCGCGGGTTGCGAGCGAACAACGTCCCTCTCGAAAGCAGATTCTGCTATGACAGTTGGGTTCCCCAAGAGGTTAACCTGGTGTCCTCCGGAAAGTTGTTGACGAGCCGGGAGCCCTTGTAGGGGCCGCGGCAACGCGGCTCGGGGGTGGGGGGGCGGTCGTGGCTCGGTGGAGCCTGCGTGGCCGGGGGGCTTCTGGGGGTGTGCGCCCCCAGCCGGCTGCCCTCGTGGATGCCTCCCGGCGGCGGCGGGCCCATGAAAGACTGCGAGTACAGTCAGATCAGCACCCACAGCTCCTCCCCCATGGAGTCGCCCCACAAGAAGAAGAAAATTGCGGCCCGGAGGAAATGGGAAGTGTTCCCGGGAAGAAACAAGTTCTTTTGCAACGGGAGGATCATGATGGCCCGGCAGACGGGCGTCTTCTACCTGACGCTCATCCTCATCCTGGTCACTAGCGGACTCTTCTTTGCCTTCGAGTAAGTGGCGGCGACAGCTCCCCGAAGCTCCCGTTGTCCCCCCCACCCCTCCTCTGGCTACTTTCGTTTTCTAGAAGCCTTATCTGCTGTACATTGTTATATAATGCCAACCCGCTCTCCCTCTTTTTAAAGATGTTTGATTTTTTAGTCCCGAGGAATAATGTTGGAATAACGCTATGCTGGACCCGGGCCCCCGGAGTAGAGGGGAGGGGAATGGGACATTTGTAAGGTGTGTTTGGCCTTGCTGCTGCTGAGCGTTGGGTGTGACCTGGCAGGTGGGGCCGCTGCTGACTTGAGCCCAGGTGCTGTCTCCTTTGAGTTTGGGAAGCTACACACTTGCCCAGCCCTTCAGTGGGAAGGGAGGGTTGCCGTAGGTTTCTAAGTTAGGGATAAACAGACTTTTTTCTTTTGTTTTTTTCTTGCCGATAAGATGTAGGGCATCTTTGGTTCAGTTGGCTAAATCTAACATATAGCTTCTCAGTATAATGAGGAACCTGGGCTATTTTAGATTTAAAAGTGTAGGCTACCTAGTGTGCCCTGCATAGTTAATTTAATTTTTCGTTCTCCTTACTTCTGTCTTAACGACTTCTGATTTACCACGAGTTTTCTAAACTCTTTATTGTCATTGAAGTTTTGGAAAAGAGGTCCAAAACAAACAATTCTGGAGCAGGTGAAAGGAGACTTCAGCCTAGAAAGAAAAAGTGTAGCAGTAAGGGGCGATTTCTAATTCTAGAAACAGTACTTTGGGATTTTAGGGATTTTATCTGGGAAAAAAAAGTGCACGTGAATCATCATTTTCAGAAGAATCAAATTGGCCAGTAGCAACTATTTTCCTGCCAGCTAGTGAAAGGACTTATTTGTTAGTAGCCATTGGGTAAAGCAATTTAACCATATTCCGGATCAATTTCAATTGCTCTGATAGATTCCAACATTTGGAATGCAGCTTCTTATATAACCCCCAATATCTTGTGCTCGAAGAAAGTTGTAGTAATATTTTTCTTCCATATGTAAAAAAAAATAATGTTTATCGAGAGCTCTTCTTTGAGATTCCTATATTCTCATTATTTTGGGGGCATGACATACCTTCAGTCTCCACCTGCTTTTGCTTGGTAGGACTAAACCCTTTTGTGTTTGTTTACTTTTGTAAATAAACTAATACATATGTATTATGTGGTATGTATTAGTGGACTCTGATCCTGTGCCTGGCTTCTCTTGGAAATGCTGTCTCAATTGGAAATGAATGATTTCTTGACAGGGTAATACTTTCCACCCAGAGTCCTCTAATTCTTTTGGGCAAACATTTTATATCTGAGCACTGTGCTATGATGAACAGCTTTAACAGGATTGATTTAGAATAAGGAAGAAAGGAGATTTCAGATGTATGCTACCTTCTTTCCCTGGATTTTTCTCATAGCCCTCTTACCCTTTCTGACTGTGTGTAGATTTCCAGGTGTCTCCTAGGTTAACTTTCATGCATGTTTGGGATTAGCTAGTGAGTCTGTTGGGGACATGTGGGCTGGAGTGGAAGGGTGAGAGCAGGCATGCAGAGTGACAAGGAGGTGTGCTTTACACGTGCTGCTGCTATTTCTGTGGTTCCCATCCAGAGCCAGCTTCTTGTCCCTACAGACTGCTGGAAATGGGAGGAAGAGGCACAGAGGTTCCTGATACTTGTACTTTGCTACAGAATAAACACAGGCACTGGAATGATGAGGCTGTGTGTTTAACATACATACAGGTAGGTTTAGTTACAGGTCGATTTCTAGTGGGCAAGTATTCACTGTGTCCTTAATGTTAAAAAAAAGTTTTGAATGGATTCATATTGGCATTTTTGCTCTTCTTAGTGATTCTGAGTGGAGACAATTGGCTAATTTTGTGATCATGTTGCCAAGCTTCAGCCACAAGCGTGTTTCATGTGGGATGATGAGTAATTCATTTTTTACATATATACAAATCCTTACTATGTGGCTAGGGACACCCATACCCCATTAGTTACTATCTTTTATTCTCTTTGTTCAAACGTAGCTTCTAACCAACCATCACAAATTCATTTTCATTTCGTGATCTCTATGATTTTTCCAAGAGTTCCGCAAAGTCCTCACTTGCAGGTTGTTATGGATCCTCTTCTGCATTAACTGATGGCTGTAGGAATAAACATGCGCACTGGCTACTATTTGCATCATCATTTATCTAACAGCTCTGTGGGAGTCTGTGTATGCATGTGTGTTTGCTCTCCATGAGGTTTCTTCAGCCAGGCAATTTGGAGTTTCAAGAAAATAGGGGACCCAGCCTAGTAGGATGCTTCAGTTGAGAAAAATCATAGGCCTATTCAAACTACAAAATATTGTGGTTTTCTAAGACTATTTGTCAGTCCATTTCATTGCTTTGTCATAAGCATTGTTACTGTTTTTCAGCTCTTTATTAATTGAGAATGAAATTAAATATCTGGACAAATTAATTTGCTAGAGACTCAAAGAACCTATTAACCACATGCACAAGAAGTGAAATACCAACCGAGTAATTATTAAACGGGAGCCAGAGGAAATTCCTGTGTCGTCTATTTCCTGCCTACCTTTCTTCTGGCTTCTGTTCCGTTGTTTGCTAAGTACATATTATATGGTCCCCTATTTCAGTTGCTTAATTTTATGTCTTAATAGTTTTTAATGTTAATAAAATTCATCATCAAACACTAGAATCTGTGTTTCCCCAGTTACACAAAGACAATAATATGAAAAGCAATAAAACACCTGATTTTAGTTTTAGACCTCTTTTATCTGCACCTCTTCTCTTACCCAGCATCTCATTTCTGACCTTGAAAAGATGGACAAGGAAGTTTGTCCAAGAGAAATGAATTTGTTGGAATTTAACAACAGGTGTTGATGCTGTCTCCAACTCCTAGAGAAAGGCAGGGTAGAAATTATTATTCCCACACAGAAAATGAAGTGAGAGGCTTAGAGAGGTTCCATAATCACTTAACAGCATGCCACTAGCCATGGGAAGGATTTTGACTGCAAACCAATGCACCTGTAGACAAGTGCTCCTGCAGACCAGTGGGGCTCCTCCTCCTCCCAGTGTAGAGTATGGTTAAAAGCTGAACTTTGGGAAGGACAGATCCCAGGACTCTTACCAGCAGTATGACCCTGGGAAAATGACTTGTCCTTTTTTAAGCCTGAGTTTTCTAATCTATAAAATGGGATTGATACCTGCTTTTAAATGGTATAAAGATTAAATGGAAAATGTACACCTAAGTGTACAGTAGAGAGCAAATGTTCAATAAATGACGCATATTATTGGAATACATCCAGAAGTAGCCTCCCAAGGACTCTTATCACCCTTTTCTGAGAGCCTTTTAAAGGGAGGGAGGATATGGGTCAATAAGCAAGTGTGACAGTGATCAGTAGCCCATGAGAACTGAAAACTTCAGAACTATGCGATTTCTCACTAAAATATAGACATCTGTGTGAGGTGCCTGTGTTTGGCAGCAGCCTCAATCTTGTGCCTGCAGAATAAAAGTTCTGCAGGGAGCCTGGGGAGCTGCCCTGTTCCAGACCCTGGATTTCGCCTCCATTTTTGGATCCACCATGCCAGAACTGTGAAAACACTAAAGAAAGCTGCCAGAAGCAACCAGATGCAGCTTTCTACTCTTTCATGCAGGTCAGGAGTGCTTATCTTTTGGCTGCCTTTATTGAGCATATGGAGAACTGATGAAAAGTGACAGCATCTCATAGCTGTGTTTAAAAGGGAAGGGGAGAGCTGATTGCAGACTGTCGAGGGATCTCACTGCTTCTTGTTGTTATAAGAGTCTCATCAAAGACCACAGTGTTGTCGCATCCTCAGAATCTGAATCTGAAAAGATCAGTGAACATTATGAATTTCTTTCTGTCTGATGCACACACGTACAGACTACTTTTGCTTACAGTTGAAATTTTGGAAATAAAAAGCCTTTGATTCTGAAATATTGAAATTTCTGAGTCTCCTGATCATAGGGACAGTAGGAAGGACAGGAACTGAGAGGCCAGGTGAGGCTCGTGTTTTCAGGAGCTTCCCATGACACCAGGCCTGCTTTGGCCTCCCAATTCTTTTCTGTTACTTCTGACAGTTTGAAGACATTACTGGGTCTCAAATATATGAGAAATTAGCAACACCTTCAAATTTCTTATCACTAGAAGTCCATTGATGATTTTTTTTAAAAAAAGCTTTGTTTTCTTCTTTCCCCCTTTTCTTTTCCTCTTTCTCTTCCTCCCTTCCTTTCTTCTGTCTTTCAATTTGGTTAATCTCTGTAGTGAATGATGAATAATTGGCAGTAAATAGAACTGGGGTTATGTTTACCTTGAAGGTGGAAGTGAGGTTATCTCTGGTAAATAAAAGTGTCATTTCCCATAATAGCGTCTCCATCACAGATAGGATAACTTTTATTATATAGAAGAAGGTGCTGCCCTTGTAACGTGGAAGAACCTCATCTGTGTTAGTTTTTCATTGCTGTAATAAAATACCTGGAATATTTAACTTATAAAGAGAAAAGGCATATTTTGGCTCATGGCTTTGGAAATGCCAGTCCATGATCTGGTGGACTCATTGCTTTCAGGCCTCTGGTTGGGGGTGGGGGCAGATGGCAATGGTGAGGAGCACGTTGCAAAGCAAACTTGCTCACCTGATGCCCAGGAAGAATAATAATAAGAGGAGGGGGCAGAGTCCCACATTCCCCCTTGAGGACACACCCCCAATGACTTAAGGACTTCTCGCAAAGCCCCACTTCCTAAAAGTTCTACCACATCCCACTAAACTACCCCTGACTGATGGGCCTTTGGAGGACATTCAACATCCAAATTATACCTGTAAATCCTGTAAATATATGTGTCATTTCCAATAATAACATCTCCATCATCGACAGGATAACTTGTATTATCTCATAGAAGGCTCTGCCTTTATTACACTTAAGGATCTCATCTTTTCTTGACCCTCTTATGCAGAACTGTATTTAGTTCTCCACTATTTCAGAAAAC